ATCCAACTATAAGAGGGCAGAATCTGTAATAGAGAAAAGGGAAAGAAACCACATTTACCTTGAAAAATGTCTAGATAACATAATAGAAAATATTATTATAATTTAACAAATTTGTTAAATTTGTCTTTCACATAGTAAAGATTGAACATAAATTTCAATTTTTGCTAAGGCAAGGACAACATATATTGTTCCATAATAGATGTAGGTTAGATCTAGCCAGGCATTTGATATCAGTATTCCTTTTAATTCCCATAAAAATTCTAAAAGCTATATAGTTATTAATTCTACCATGGCCCAAAGACAGCAAACTAAGTATCCTAAAACCTATTCTCCTATGAGCCTAATGGTTAATTTTCACAATGACAAGTTGACATTTATTAAATTTGTAACATCTTATATGTAATTAAATGACTTCAGATATTTTCTATTTTTGCATTTGTTTATGGGTCTGTCTTTATTTTTTTTAATATTAACATCTAAGAAAATCATCTCAGAATATGGTTGTCTGAAATTGATATGTCTAAGAATTTTTAAATTTGTTGGACTTTGGTTAATTATACCATGAGTCTCACTCTTCTAAATCCTTTTTAATTCTTTGAGAGATATATTTTTAGACATCTCAAAATTCCTTTAGCCAAAACCATTTTCAATTTATTTTCTCAATTCCAGTGGAATGGAAGCATCATGAGGACAATAATCTTGATCTGTTGCTATTTCCCAAGTGTCTAAAACAGGGCCTGTCCTGTAACAGGGTCTTGATAAGTATTTGTTGAGTGGATGAATAAATTAGATATTTATTAAGTTGATTTATCCCTTTTAATATTCTCAATATATTTTAATTACATACATATGTAATAACTATATATTTATTAAACAAACTAGTACTACACAATGTTCAGTTTAAGAGGAGTATTTCAAACACTAAGAGTAAGAAAGTATAATGGGTAAATGAGAAGTGTGTTTTCTTTGGTGCACTTTATGACAGCTTAAATCATAGAATAATAATATTAAACAAATATCGCTTTCTACCTTGAAAATATGTGTAAAGAAATATGCAAAAGTAAAGAATGCTGAGTTTTAAATAAATGGAAAGTAGAGAAAAACATTAAAAATAAATATCTTATAGATCTATCATCTATAAGCAGCCATTCAACATTTTGGTGAAGTTCCTTCCAATTTTTTATCAATGCAAAGGAAATTTCTTTTTTATTAATGTAGTGAGAGTACCAAATATACTGGCTTATATTTTGCTTTTTGTTTCACTTAAAATTATAATGTAAGTATTTCAACATTATTACACAGTTTGTAAACATAATTTTAATGACTATAATATTTCATTAAATTTTCAATGATATAACCATTCCCATATTATAGCTTCTTATTTTTTGCTATTATAAATAATGCTAATTTATAATTTTATTTACAAAGCTTTTTCTCAATTGGTAGTTAATTTCTTAGAGTAAATTTTTTAAATAGTTGAATCTATTCACATTTAGCAAACTTATATAGCACTATGTGCCAGGCACTATTCCAAAAACTTCACAAGTATTGATTCATTTAATCCTCCTAATTCAATAAAGTACTATCACTATTTTTTAAAAAAAAATTTTTTTTTATTTATTTATTCATGAAAGTCAGAGAGAGAGAGAGAGAGAGAGAGGCAGAGGCAGAGGGAGAGAAGCAGGCTCCCCGCCTAGCAGGGAGCCCGATGCGGGACTCGATCCCAGGACCCTGGGATCATGACCTGAGCCGAAGGCAGACACTTAACCGTCTGAGCCACCCAGGCGCCCCAAGTACTATCACTATTATTCTCATCTTAGAAAAGAAGAAACTGAGGCACGTTAATTTAAGTCACCTCAGTTTACACAGTTGCTAAGTGGCAAAGCCAGGATTTAAATCCAGATAATTGAACTCCAAGGTCTGTATTTTTAAAGAGACTGTGCATTAAAAGGAATTAACATTCTTAAACTGCCAAACTGCTTTGCAACCAAGAATAGAATATCATTTCACCAGCACTGATGTTATAATTTAAATTTTTTTAAATTAATGTCTCAGAAACGGTATCTGATTGTTCTGAAACTTGTTTGATTACTAATGAGTTTGTATGCTTTTGGGTGTTTTTTCTAGTTCTATGAGTTAAGAGTTCTTATCCTTTTATTTCTCTCTTTTTCATCTTTCTCTAGACTCATCATGGTGTTTTCATCCTTCTATCTCTTAACATTTTGGTGTTTTTGATGAGCTTTTTACATAATAAATTTAATATATTGTTGCCTCTTGTAATTGCATGTTTTTTGAATCAGTTATTTGTTAAAAATAAATAAGGTAGCTTTTTTTGTTGTTGTACCAAAGTTTCCCATATGATGTAAAAATCTATCAGATGTCTTCCTCTTCGTGATTTCTTGTATGACTTAGACAAAGTCCTCAAGCTCAAATTCTTTTAGTGGTCAGATAGACAATGCAGTGGCATGACAGTGGGAAGTCTTGGGACTGGAGGGACTTGAGGCTTGTGCAACTGATTGTTCTTCCCGGAGAAGCTAGAATCTAGATTTCTATGTGAGATATCCTTCAGAGAAGACTGTAGGCTTAATAAAACACATCTGTGTGGGCCAGAGGGCTGATGCTTTATCACCTTTGGTTCAGAAGTTCCCCTTCATTCAAAATTCAATTCTATTTTCTTCTAGTTCTTCTATGAGTTTTTGAAATATATTCAAAATTTTATGCAACTATAATTAGGTTGTGGTGTGAAGCATCTAGTTGCTTTTTTAAACTAAAGGAAAGAGATTAATTTATATTTCTTTTCTCTTGTCCTCAAGTTTCTCTCTTTCTTTTTTGGAAAGCAGAAGGACCAATGAAATAATGAAATATTAAATGTTATGATGGTGTTTTCTCTAATTGTAAAAGAATAATTGTCATGTTTTTTCTGTATGATGGACTTATATCAAATGCTCTCGTTTCCTGATTAACATAATATAATATGCTTGTTGGAAATTAAGACAGAAGGGTCTGTATATAAATTAGAATTTAAAACTCCTTGAAATGCTCCAAAGAAAGCTAAATAGAAGGGGAGAAGCACACAAAGTAATGCAAAATTTTCAGAGAATTAAAATAATCTAATCTTGTATTAAATATTGCAAATTTGGCAAATATGAATTTCAAGCAGATTTCGGTTTGTGAATTACATAATTAGAAAGTGATCACAAAAATTACAGTTTAAATATTCATTTCCTTGTTCAAAAATCATTAATCAAAAGTTTACTCTGGGGGCACCTGGGTGGCTCAGTCATTAAGCATCTGCCTTCCGCTAGGGTCATGATCCCAGGGTCCTGGGATCGAGCCCCACATTGGGTTCCCTGCTCCGCGGGAAGCCTGCTTCTCCCTCTCCCACTTCCCCTGCTTGTGTTCCCTCTCTCTCTGTGTCTCTCTCTGTCAAATAAATAAATAAAATCTTAAAAAAATTTTTTACTCTCTATTGGAAAACCAGTAGATATTTTTGTCCCACAGTTATGTCCCTATAGTTATTTTTCCCTCACTACTTTGATCCTGAGATTGATTTATGTTAATGAATACAAACATTAAAATCAGAATTATATCAGCACCAAATTCATATAAATTATTGATATGAAATTACTCTTAATAATTAATTCCATTAACCTGAATTAATCCCTTAATCAATTTTCTAGTATAGTACTTAAAATATTTCCAATTTTGTCATGAGGGGAGGTGGGGGGATGGGGTAACTCGTGATGGGCAATAAGGAGGGCACTTGATGTAATGAGCACTGGGTGTTATATGCAACTGATGAGTCACTAAACTCTACCTCTGAAACTAATAATACACTATATATTAATTAATTGATTTTAAATCAAAATAACAAAAAATAAAAATAAAAACTATAAAAAATACTAAATTATTTTCATCCAGACTAATTCATTTATGTTTAGCTTATCAAACAGTTCTGTTATCAGCTTTTGTCCAAATCAAATTTTACATAATAGTTTCTGCTACTATGGGTTTTCTTTTGTGGGCATTATTTTTATCCAGTCCCATTTTCCCAGGTCAAAATTTATAGATCTACATCTTACCACATCCAGTTTTGCCTATTTTCAGTTTTATTTTTGTATTGATTATTTCTGTCAGTTATATTTGTATTTATTTCTTAGCTAATCCATTATAAAATTGTTAAATATCTCAGTATTGATCTATTCCCGAGAACTGTTATAAAGCTAATTTAATTCTTCTAATTATTTTGAGGGCCTTGTATAACTTGTACACAGCACTCGTGGCTCAAAGAGAAAATAGTGTTGGATGGTGACAGATGGTAGCTACACCTGTGGTGAACACAGCATAACATATAGAAGTGTTGAATCCCTATGTTGTACACCTGAAACTAATGTAACATCATGTGTCAACTATACTCAAAAAGAAAAAGACAGCAAATAATGGAATAAAAAGAGCTTACTTCTAAAAAACTAAGCTATTTTGGGGGCACCTGGGTAGCTCAGTCAGTTAAGCAGTTAAGCATCTGCCTTCAGCTCAGCTCATGATCCTGGGGTCCTGGGGTAGAGCCCTGCATCGGGCTCCCTGCTCAGTGGGGAGCCTGCTTCTCCCTCACCCACTACCCCTGCTTGTGCTTGCTTGTTCTCTCTGTCAAATAAATAAAATCTTTAAAAAAATTAAGCCACTTTCAGTAAAAGAAAGTTGGAGAGGAGTGATAGGTTTTTGGGGAAGGCTTTGTTGAGGAGGTGGCATATGATCTGCATCACAAAAAATAAGAAAAGAATTCACCAGATGCCAATAAGGGTGAAGGGCATTACATAGAAAACAACCAGCATGTGTGAAAGCATGGAGGCAAGAAGGAGTGGAATGTATGTGTAGTAGGCACCAACTAATAACTGAATGAACAGATGGATGGGTTTGTGTATGGTAAATAGTAACTGCAGTATAGGGTGCATAAAGGTGGTGGAGGAGATTGAAATGAGAGAATGAAAGGCTAATTGGATATGGAGATGAGTGAGGAAGAAGCAGATGAGGTCACCCAGTCTCCTATTGATGCTGTTAAACAAGAAAGCAAACAGAAGGATATGTAGGCTCCAGTCCACTCTTTGCTTTTGGACCATTTTGAACTGAAACAAGACCTGATGCTCTGGAATCTGTCCTAATTCCAAAGACCACAGAAAAGGTTTTTCATCACTCCTTGGTCAGTCCCTTTGATGCTTTCAAATCCCTCATTAAAATCAATAAAGTATGTCTTGTCTCAATTTTAATACTCTTGTTGCACTTACCTCCATTCCTATAGGTCTGTCTTGCAAGAATTGGAGAACAGCTGGTTGCTGTATTTGAATAGGGGTATTTTTTAAAAAGATTTTATTTATTTATTTGACAGAGACATAGCGAGAGAGGGAACACAAACGGGGAGACTGACAGAGGGAGAAGCAGGCTTCCCGTGGAGCAGGGAGCCC